CTGCGAAATAGATATGAAATGGTCTTACACACTGGAGGGTGTTCCACATTCATTGTGTCATATCTTTAGACTGTCCGAAAGTTTGTCGTGCCGTGCAACTTTCACAGACTAATCCGATAATTGGCATGTGGCCCTACTGGCACACACTCATGCGTATGCCGTTGAGTTTATCTATATGTGCACGCACATGTGTGTATACATAATTATACAATTTTATTACGTATGCAAAATTAGGCAATCTACATGTACATTATATATGTGTGTGCACTCACTCCTATGACATAGAACGACAGTGCAGGCTATGTAAAGTCGCATCAATGTGTGTCACCCGGGTGTGTACATGCATGCGCGCTCGCGCGGGCGTTTTGTGTGCGTGCCTGGCATGGCATAACGCCGTTCAGTATGACTAGTGTTGAACCGTGGTAATTTTCCCCCACCCCCTCTTTTTTTCTGCTGGCGTTGGATATGCAACTAATGACATAAACTCGGTTGTTGAAAACGAGTGCCATGCACCACAATGGATTGACAATAATAATAATAATAATAATAATAATAATAATACAAGTAGCACTGTAACAGCGCTGGTAATACTTATGTTGCAGCCATGGCAGTTGTGAGTAGCTTTCCAAGTCAAGCCTGCTGCAGAAATTATTGCACTCTGACCAGCTGGAGTGGCCCAGGACTGCCGGTTGTGGAGAACAGGAGTGATGCTTGTATATACGCTTGTCATGATGTACACAGTGTACTTCGAAGTAACGTTAGGTGTATTACTTGCGTGTTCTTCTGCCTGTGCGCGTGTACATGTGCTGGTCAGTGTGGAACCACCATCCATATCAGATCATACAGCTACTATCAGTCTCAACAGCTTGTATCTGGCAAATAGGGTTTTAGTGACTCGATTTTGCTTACTGTGTTCAACACAGTGGCATTGCACACAGCTACTTGATGTAATAGTAGCATCTTGGAAATTTTAGATTTTTGATAGTTAGCTTCAGTAGAAACTTCTCCAGTGTGGCTCTTAGCTTCATTACCACGGAGACTAAGCATTCAAGTAATGCACGAAGAACAGTGGCTAGATGTGAAGTGAAAAGCCATTGGACCGTACCCCGTGGAATACGCATTTAGTATAGAAGAATTTCTTGCTATGTTGGCAGCAAACACTGTTATAATAATTACATTACCAGTAGAAAGTGCCTAATGTGCATTGCTTCAGCACTATGTTTGGACAAAGCAGTCAACAAATTCCACATCACTATCGGCTTCATGTTGGAGAAAGTTGTGAAAAACACTAGAACATACATGTACACTCAATACACATGCTCATCTCCATGTATGGCATTTAGTATGTGGGCGACTTCAAAGTTCTATTTTGGTAGTTTGCTTCGGTAGAAACTGTCTAAACTTGATCCAAAGCTCTACTACTATGTTCTGAAGATGTTGCAATCAAGTAATGTAAGCCAAGTATCTGCCGCATTGGAGCTAGTTGTGAAAACCTTTAGACCATACACTCAATGCACATGCTCAGCTATGGCATTTAGTATGTGGGCGACTTCAAAGTTCTGTTTTGGTAGTTAGCTTCGGTGGAAACTGCTAAAACTTGATCCAAAGCTCTACTACTAGGTTCGGAAGATGTTGCAATCAATTATTGTAAGACACGTATCTGTCATATGGTGGAGTCAGGGGTTCTAAGGCGTTGGACAATGTCCCAGTGCAATGTGCTGATTCTTGAAATATGGCATCACTTGAAACTTCAAAGTTTTATTTCACGAGTTACCTTCGGTAGAACCTGCTCAAACTTGCTACACAGTACCATTATTAGGTTATGATAGCATAACCATCGAATACAGGGCAAGTTCAGTGTCAAATACTTGTGGGCGGGGCTAATATGTGGGACGTGTGCGCTGAAATGGGATGATTCCGAAAAGAGAAAAAAAGTCACCTTCTAGCAGAATTCTACCCACTTCTACAGCTAATGCTGATATTTAGCAAGTATACTACTGTCCTGGTGTTGGTCATCAAGAAAAAGGGGGTAACTACCAGTGCTACGGCCAAAAAACTGGTTTTCCGGTATTTTTTGGCCTAAATTGGCAATTGTGAGTACGCTATGTTTGGCCCCTCCCCCGAGTGAAACCGGCCGGTAGAACTTGATAAAAATTCGTCTCCGTACACAAGATATCCAACGGAACAAAGTACAATCATTTGTAGCCACGTTTCAAACAAAAAAATTTGGACCCGAGGGGTAGGAGCCACCTTAAAGGGGAAGTAATTAGTTAAAGGGGAAGTTAAGGCAAAAATTAAAATTTCACCAGTTGTAGTCTTCGGGGTGCTAAGTCGAATGGTCTTGGTCCGAGAAAGCTGAGACGCTCCCTTCCTACTTGAATCCCAATCGAACTCGCGCACTTCCACCGAAACTGGGTGACTGCGCCCTACTAGATGGGGATTTGTATGCAAAATGTCACTAAAAGCGCCATTTCGTTCTTATAAAAGCACGGATGACCGCGATTGGCCCATATGTTGTAGTCTTTTGGACGCTGAGTCGACTGGTTTTGGTCCGAAAAGGCTGCTGTAGTATCCCTGGCCCTACTTATAACCAACTCTTGTCCCACCGGTTACTCCTAAGTGCTTCTCCCAGCAACCACTTTAATACTTTGAAGTAGGACTACTAGACAACCCTGCCTGCAGACCGGTACGGCATGACCTGTATGCAAGTGTGCTGTGAGTCCTATTTGGAGGACAATATTCCCTTTTGACCCCGTGAGATGGTGAGAACCTGGTGTGCTTCTATTTTTGATTTGTTATCAGTTCAGTTCTTCTGTCTACTCTAAAAAACGTTATCATTTCCGATATTATTTGCCATATTCCGGTTGACGCTCTACAAGTAATACGCTATCTACTATGACGTTCTCACCGCCTCCTATGATCTGCTGCTGAGCTCTAGCTACTACTACTCCTACTACTACTAGTGTCAGTTGTCACTCTTTCGGTCCAGCGCTCTGTTCAAAATTCAAGAATACCTGTACGTGAATGCAAGTTAGATGTCCAGTCCACCTACTGACGGTGCCTTCTAGTGAGTACTGTTCATCATACATCACCGAACTGGATGTCAAATCACGAGGGCGTGATTTAGTGTAGGAAGGGAGGGTGTAGTATCCCTGGCCCTACTTATAACCAACTCTTGTCCCACCGGTTACTCCTAAGTGCTTCTCCCAGCAACCACTTTAATACTTTGAAGTAGGACTACTAGACAACCCTGCCTGCAGACCGGTACGGCATGACCTGTATACATGTTGCACACATTCATGCTGTACTACATTACATTGATTCCTATAGCCCGTTCCTCATCACTAACTCTTTTGATTACTAGTTCTAAGATATCTTCCGCTTCTCTTCTTCTGCCAGATGTCTTCCCAGAATCCATGTCCTAGCTCGCACACAGTCAAATGGCTTTTCCAACCGCTGTCCTCTTAGTAACCTTCACGCCCAATTACCCTGCCTGCCATTCACATTAGTTTCCTTCATACTGGTAGATTGCATTCCTGTTACCTAATGGTTGCTCGCTACTTAGGTCCATTCTTCCTCCTACCTATTCCTTTCACGTTATCTCCTTGTACGTCTTCTCCTTGCACTACTATTTCTCCCCTTGCCATGTATATGCTGTCTATGCTATATAAGCCCTATCTGCTCTACCAGAGATAGATTCGCTCATAGCAGAGAAGAGAGTCCCTCCTGGCAGATTGAGCCGGAGCAGTTATATTCCGTTCAGAGTCCCTCCTGGCAGATTGAGCCGGAGCAGTTGTAACCATAACTTCAGGCAGATTGAGCCAAGAAACCTACTTCACAGTCTTATTGTGTGTGCCTCCATCCGACTACTCGGCTACCCACTACACTGCGATGCAGCGTTCCTCCTTTATTCCCAATCGAACATGGTTGAACAAGCGGTCACGTGCTCCTGCGTACACCAGTCACCTGGTCACCGTGCCTGCAGGGTACAACTACTTACTAGCCTGTTTGACCTTTTTGGGTGCAGTCCTGTCACTCGAGTTGAACCTTGGTGTGAAAGTTGTCGCCTGCTGGCGTGGTGACCAGGTGATTTGGGCACCCAGGAGCACGTGACCGCTTGTTCCACCATGTTCGATTGGGAATAAAGGAGGAACGCTGCATCGCAGCCTTTTCGGACCAAAACCAGTCGACTCAGCGTCCAAAAGACTACAACATATGGGCCAATCGCGGTCATCCGTGCTTTTATAAGAACGAAATGGCGCTTTTAGTGACATTTTGCATACAAATCCCCATCTAGTAGGGCGCAGTCACCCAGTTTCGGTGGAAGTGCGCGAGTTCGATTGGGATTCAAGTAGGAAGGGAGCGTCTCAGCTTTCTCGGACCAAGACCATTCGACTCAGCACCCCGAAGATTACAACTGGTGAAATTTTAATTTTTGCCTTAACTTCCCCTTTAGTAACTTTACTGTTTACACAGCAAAGCCAAAGGCAAAGGAGAGGTTCGCAAACATCTGCGCTTACAACAGATCCCGATGACACAAACGTAACGTCGTCGTTTATAGGTAGGAGGTAATAATTTTTATGAGGAAAGGACTTTTGTACTTCGAAGTAGAAGAGTCGGATTTAACAAGCACAAAATATGTACCGTATGATGGTACACTAAGTACTTGACTGATGAATGATCATTGATGAATACCGGTGGCCCAGTACTGGCAGTAACAATGGACTGCACTGGTTGTGGCGGGTGACATTTCACCCCTGACTGTTTCTTGTCGTGAATCGCAACCAGATCTTTACGGGCAGATCTACAAGACTACAGTCATGTACGTGCAGCAGATGACCTCGCTAGTATTTATTATAAATATAGCGCTACTAGTATGCGCTAGACCGAAAATAAATCTATCTATATCAAGCATGCGGAAAAGAGAGACGTCTTGTCACTCCGGCTCCACAATCAAGACTACATTCCACTGTCAAGCCAAGCAAAGGTTCGTAGACCACTTCCGGACAGCCTCATCATGCAGTTGCAGTAGCAGCTAGTGGTAGATCTACTACAATAATTATGTGGTAGCACCCTGTGTAGTGTAGATCTACATGTAGCTGGACGTACATAGTCGAGTCGTCCCTGGCCTGCATTTATGTCGTGATTCGTGACCGGCAGGCAGTATGAAGTCGTAGATCTAGTACTAGTAGTACTGTAGCAGGTGATCGGAATCATCGCGGAGCGCTCCGATCGAGCAGGATGCAGGATGCAGGATCAACGATGACCTCCACTCTTCCTTAGGCTACGGGCCCCAGTTATGCCTGCTGTTCACAACTATTATTTTTTCTTCGCAGCAGTACTTGTAAACAAGGAACGAATCATCATCGGTTGCACTTGCAGTTCTTACCATGTGCTTTCGTCTGGTCTGGCAAATGGCCTAGCGACTGTTTAATGTTATGAACTAACGTTACTTTTGTGTGTAACCGCTCCATCTGTGTTTGAAGTACAAGTAACAGTTCTTTAGTTGTAGATCTACACTGTCTGTAGAGTGTAGTAGTTGGTAGTTCTGGGTTTGGGCCTACTACTACCCGGCGTGTGCGTGTAACGTTATAGTAGCAGCTGCACTCGTTACAGGTGTTATTCCAGCTGTGTAACTCAGTCACAGACTCATTGTGAGAAGTAACACCATGGACGTCCGAAATTGGGGCGGCGAGTTGCTAACTCGGCCTGTAAAATACAAACAAGTAACTCGCGTCGATGAAATAGTGGAAGTTGTAACGGACCCTGACCAATACCCATCTCCAGTTAGAGCTTTGGGCTCGCGCCACTCCACGACTGATTGCATCGATGCCGACAATGGAACGGTACTGGATATGCGGCGGCTTGACTGTATCAAAGACCCGGATGAGAGAAACATGACCATCACGGTAGGAAGTGGAGCTCGCTACTACGACATCTCACACAAACTGCAGGCTCACGGCCTCATGCTGCACGTAAACACGGAGATTGGCAACCTGACTGCTGGCGCAGCTGTCGTGGGACAAACCAAAGATTCTGCCTTTCCTGACGAACATGGCCAGGTCAGCTCTTACGTGGTCTCCGTTAGAATGATCACTGCTGACGGTAAGGAATGTCATACCTTAGTAATATTATAAATCTAACAAACAATCTAGATTTATAGTATCCATTTACAGACCTAGCTCAACCTAGCTGGACTCTCTGGGCCATTCTTATAATTGAGCACAAATAATGTCAAATATCATTATGTTGTGTTCAAATCTCTGCTATCAATGTCACCCAGTAAGATTTATTCAGGTGAAGACTTTGCATAGCACCACAATGACCCGTGCAGATGTGAGTAACACAGGGTCATAGCATTGACATTTCAGGTGGTCCGGCCAGATGAGGACTGCCCCAGTACTTGACCAGAAATGAATATTATTGACGGAAACCCCGTTTTTCCTGCATTGGGTCGGTCACCGTTTCGAAGTATGGTCCGGGCTGGGTGCTACGACCCTGTTACAGTACACCTGTGTATAATTGTGTCCATGTAATTGTAACGTTACATCAGTACTACATAGCCTGAGCCCATGGTTGGTGCATCCGGAGCCACACTCAACACACGTTCAGGGCGGCTTTCGTATTTTCTGCTAGTTCTTGGAGAGATCTCTCCTGGAAGACGAAGAAACGGGAAGAATAAAAGAACGGACCTCTTTGTTGTCTTGAGTGCAAAACGCCCAGCGAACTGCGGCCTTGGGAGACATGAGCATGTCCATGATCTCAGTTCTGATCGCACGCATGGAAACACGTGTATTATGTAGTACAATGTAGTCTGCATGGGGCGTAGATCCATAACAGCGTGAATCTCCAAGCTTCCATCACCCCAAAAGAGCAGAAAGCTTGGAGAGCTTTGGAGAATCCCCATGCCGATAATTTCGAGAGGATATACGAACACTTCTCCAACTTTTCGCTGAGTTTCGAACTTTTCCGAGAGCTAAGAATGTACCCTGAGACAAGAACCAGGCGCAGGGATGCAGTGCACTGCCACCAGGTATGCCATGCCAGGGGCGTAGGAGGGGTTTTGGAAATGGTACGACCGAAGGTCGGTGTGGCCGAAGGCCGTGTTGAAGGGGGTCCTGGGGACCTCCCCGGGGAAAATTTTGTAAAAAGGACACAAAATCCTGCGTTCTGGGAACTTCTGGCACACTTCTGGCGCAGTGTGCAGTCGAGTCGAGTACAGTACTCAGTACGACTGCAGATGCATAACAGATCTACGAGTACGAGTCTAGAAAAAAGGTCAAAGTCTGATGCGCATATATGCATCGATGGATCCTGATTTTTTTTATTACGGTTTTGCACGTTCCGGACGGACCACACTTTTCGAAAAGTGGTACGTCCATGGTCGTACCAGTCGTAGCGGGTGCTACGCCCCTGCATGCTGCACATTGTCACTAGTCTTGTACTCCCTTGCTGTAAGTGAGGAACGTCCGCTGTGTACGCATTTCAGTGGCATTTCCAGGAATTACACTGGTTGACGAAGGGAAACCTTGGCGATGTTATCATCCTACTCATACGTAACTGTAGTAACCGCACCCCACGCAACCAAGCATGATCTCCGGGTTGCCAGGATAACCACTGGTATGCCCAACATACATGCCGGGTTGCCATCATTATTATTATTATTATACGCATTCCCGCGTTGAAGTGTAGCAGCAGTATGCTGCGTCCACAGCTTCGCTTATGCAGAATGGCTTGGGTGAGAGGAGAGGGGAGAGAAAGCAACAAGGCAACCAACATCTATGAAATTGGTCACAATAACATGGTTGCCATCATAGTTATCTAAATTACGGGCCAACATACAATCTACATGATGAACATACGTCGGCCTGCAATCTGTAACGTTACAAGCAAGTGCAAGTAAGATTTTCTGTGCGCCCACTGTGCATGTACAGCGGTTCTCAAAGAACTCCAATCACATGCCGTGTACGTGCCAGGCACTGTGCAGCCCTAGACCTGCAAACATTGGGATGTGAACAGTGGCGCAGGGCGCTTACTTGACCCACACGATCGGATTTCATCACCGAGCAGCACTGTACTATAAGTTAGTTATGTTGTACGTGCTTTACTCTTCTGTCATCTTGTACAGGGCAAGACGTGAGTGTGCATGAGGACACTGACCCGGAGCTTATGAGACTTGTACGCGGCAGCTTTGGATTGCTCGGCATAGTGTATGAAGTAACGTTCAAGATTGCTCCACTACGCCTGATGCGACTTTATCACAAGGTAAGAACAGGGAAAACAACACCAGACACCGTAATTTACAAACCTTTACATGTGGTGAGTGATGTACACAAACCTATATACTCATTCAGAGTCGTGAACCAATCTTACATGCCGGGATGATGTTAGCTGTGTGTCCAGAGAGTGAGAGCGCTCAGGGTGTTGATGTTGTATTTAATATTGATAATATTGACAGCGACCTCTCACCCAGGGAAAGAGCATAGGCTGTGGGGGGGGGGGGGGGGGGGCTGATCTGAATAAGGCCATCATTGAGAACCTGGTGCTGTGCTACATGTGGTTTTCAATCTTACCACAGATCTGATACACGTACGTTCAGTACAACTCCTGGGTTTCTGTGGAAATCGGAACGGTTCTTTTTCAGATTACATGTACAGTAGTTTGCGCCTTTTGGACAGGTGGTGCTTATTGGAACCGTGTCTGATAAATCGGGTGATCTTGCAGAACTGCTTACGATTCATCCCGCTGATCATATACACCAATTTGAAATAATTCTATGCATACTGGCATGTTGTATATTACCTATGGCAGAATCTTTGCTGTATTCGTTCTGCATGGGTATGCCCACGCGTGTGCAATGTTGTCACCTCATGTGTATATTATGTCAGGCTGTCCAGTGTCCAAGGTCATGCTGTTTATACGGGAGCGTTCGTATGCGCCAGTTTGCGCACTGCTATGTGTATAATTATAACGACGATGTTCGTGGCTTTGGTCTGCTCAGCATCTACTTGTACATGCTGAGCAAGGAGATGTATAGACTATAACCATGATAACTCCCTGATGCTGAGCAGGGAGATGTATAGACTATAACCATGACAACTCCCTGATGCTGAGCAGGGAGATGTATAGACTATAACCATGACAACTCCCTGATGCTGAGCAGGGAGATGTATAGACTATAACCATGACAACTCCCTGATGCTGAGCAGGGAGATGTATAGACTATAACCATGATAACTCCCTGATGCTGAGCAATCGGTTGATCTCTGTCTCGGTTAGGTATACACATTGGACGAGTTTATCGACGGCTTGGACGAGATCAGATCATCGGGCTGTGCTGTCATGTATTACATGATGCCATTCTGCAATCGTATCATCGTAGAGTTCCGCTCCTACATACCAGACAAATGGCTGGATGAAGTGGAGGATCACTGCATGGATGGAGATTGCGTCAACAACAAGCACCTCTTACCATATGGCAGCGACTGGCAGTTTGCAGTTCGCAATATGTCTTGGGCAAAGGTAAGTTATCAATGAACTGCCACATTACGTGCACTTCTTAGTTGAACTGCGCCGTGACGGCTCAGTGTATAGTCGACGGCAGAACGGAGAGAGCAGATTTACAATGTACACTGTAACGCGTTTCTCGCGTATACTATTCCCTCGCCTCTTTGTTAACTCGCCATAGCGAGGGCAGCCCATTGCAGTATCGCCATAACCTCACTCAGAGCTCCTCGGTGGAGATGATATTGAAAATGCATCATCCAGCATAGAAGTGAAACAACTGTCTCAGAGGCTATGGCAATGCTTACAAGTAAACAGGGGGGAGGGGGGGAGGAGGTGTGTGGATAAATATGTTGAGGTGAGGATCATAGTGTGGATGCTTTACAGTTTGCTGGTCGTGTGTATTCGTACAGTCAGTCGTTCATGCAACCATGATCCCTGAGGTTAGCGTCTTGTTGCTATCAGTGTAAGACACATCACGGCTGTTTTTTTCGCGAAATTTGGACATTTAACAAGATGGCAGCCAAAAGTCTCGATTGGGCTGGATCGGCAAGGAAATTTGAATTTTCAAATTCTCAGCAGCCGATTTCGCTGTGGTTTTCGCTCGATTTAGAAAGCTACCAGGCCAGGTTTACCCGGAAAACAGGTATTCCGTGTTCCTCTTGAAACTAGCTTTCTGCTGGTACCTCACATGGCCAACTTCGTCTCAGGAACAGTTTGTTCCGCGTTGCACAAGTCAAGCCTTCTTTCTCGCTCGTTCCTTGATTCATCGTTGACATGCCTGCGTCAAGAAGCCCTTTCAGGAGTTTTCCCAGTCTAGCTTTCAGTTTTCCCAGGTAGAGGACTATCTTCTGGCTATCTTCACCAAGTTTTATCACGTCCCGTGCACAAACTTCAGGTCCCGTGCGTTCGATGCTGAGCTACCTTTTCATGCGATTTAGGGGACAGATGGCATGGCGCTGGAGTCGCTGTTGAGTCCAGGAGGCCGAGGCCTGGTGGAAACTGCCCAGTAGACATGTGGGGTATTGCTGAAAAAGGCAGCAAGCACACAGATAGCCCTGAAATTGTGATGTAGATCCAATTGTGAGTTTGGTCGAGTGCATATCGGCAAATTTGAAAGTTGCACCCGTGATCCCGGCGAGGAGAAGCTGAAAATCAGTGCGTGCGTCAATATCCAGACTACCAGGGACAGCTTGGAGAGGTTCGAAAAGGTCAGGATGCTGGTTGACCACGGCAGGAGTTCCTTTTACCTTCCTTCTCTCTCAAATTGTCTGGATATTGAGTATCTCGCTCGAGCGCTTTCAAATATTAAATCCTGGTTTGACTTGCGAAATCGTGGAACCACACGGAGAGTGACATGAGTTTCATCCCAAAACGCAAACTCCCATCGTATTCATGAGGTTTGTACCGCGTTACGTACATCGCACCGAACGACTCCATATTGTTAGATGTCCGTGCGCGAACAGCCGTGACATGTGCATGTTGTGCATCATGCATTTGTAGTTTCGTACTTCGAAATACTATGAATTCCATCCTGTCGGAACTGGGCCAGTTCGTCATGAAATTACAAATTCTATGCCATGTGTTATGTGCTGGTTTAAATTCAAGATACCTAGAATGTTATAACTAAGTATAAATTCTCCCATCGCCTCCTACTGTACAACACTAATAGAATGCAGAGAGCTAGGATCGCAGGGAATAACCACTGACAGTTGATGCATTGGATATGTCCAGAGGTTCCCTGATATAGGCCTGATGTGGCAGGGGAAAGAATGCAGCCTCAAGACTTGGCGATAGCTTGCATACCGGTAGAACCATTGAATTTTTGCAGCCGTGACTTCACTCCCAAGAAAGATTGAGGTCGCGGAGAACAAAGTATTATGCTTGGAGGCGATTATTTTTTCTGTGTACGATATCTGGGCAGTCGCGGGCACATTCACAGTTTCTGTTGCATAATGCTGTTCTCCAGCAAAAGAACTGAAATATCTCACGGGGTTCGTGCAATGGATTTATAGACCCTCTGCAAATTGACGATCTGTGGCACTGTCCCCTGATGGACCCGAATTTAGTGGAGAACAATTTGTCCAGAAAATGAAACCGAAAACAGTGAACAGTTAATTGCTGGTACCACAGGCTATTGGAGAAGCATCAGCGGGTATTCGTTTCAGTGCAAAGCAATCCCAACATGTTCTCCGCTGATTCAAAATTGTTCACCGTGACCGGACCTCCAGGACTGTGCCACGGATCGTCCATATGCGAAGAGGCTACAGTCAACTTCGCTAATAACGACTGCGGATATAACGACAATTCGCGAATAACGACATAATTTTCATGCCCAGAGCAAAGTCCCATCCAACTGTGACACATATAATGAGACTTCGTGTACAACGACACTTCGCGAATAAGGACACTTTTCTGATGCCCCGCCGAGTGTCGTTATAAGCGAAGTTGACTGTACATAAATACCGAGATTCCATGTGGTTTGCTGCTGATGACTGATGCCACTGCTGTACTCAATGATAGTTCTGGTCGTATGTGCTCTATCCGATGTACTTGTGTGTGTGTGTGTGTGTGTGTGTGTGTGTGTGTGTGTGTGTGTGTGTGTGTGTGTGTGTGTGTGTGTGTGTGTGTATATGTCTGTGCAGGTGACGCCGCTGGTTGGACGGCTGGTGCAGATGGCTCCATGCCCACTGAGAAACGCACTGTACATGGCATCAGACTACCTAGCACTCTGCGTTTTGTCCACATTGGCAGGATACCATATTCTACCGGCCGAGCAAACCATTCTCTACAACGATAAGCCGTTCAAAGCAACGCAGTACACTTTCTCTATCTTTTCCTTTCCTGTTGCTGGCTTCTCTCAAGTCTTACGTGACTACTTTGCCTTTCTCCAGACATACCATAAACGGACGGGCTGGCGATGCTCCCTGGTCAATGTTGGCTACCGTCTTTTCGAGGACAACAAGTCCTTTCTCTCCTACTCTGCAGGCAGTGAGTGCATGACGTTAGACCCTGTGAGCAGTGGTGGCGATGACAACTGGTACCCATTCCTGAAAGATTACAACCAGTTCTGCCTGGATAACGGTGGAAAGCCGTTGATGAACCAGACACCTTGTCTGACGCCGGAAATCACTCGTTCATGCTTTGGCCCACAGCTCGATCATTTCGATATTCGCCGGAGGCAGATGGATCCAGATGGTCGCTTCCTTAACGGGTATTTCAGACGGCTCTTTGAATTCCAATAGAAGTCACTAGGGACATTAGTCATCATCAAGATCCGATGATTATCAGCAGCAGCAGCAGCAGCAGCAGAACAGCTTCAACTCAATTAATCAGCGTGCTATTGCGTTTTACACGTTCAATTTCTGCTAGTCGATGCCAACGATTCAGGCAGTTCAAGTTGCCTTTTCTAGTTTTAGTCTTAGGCGTCGCTTTTCTAATTGCTATCTCAACGGCGCTGCATATAGGCATCCCTCTTGTTAGTTTGCTGACCGAAATATGTAATCCACGTGGTTTTTTGCTACATCTGATCCAAAACAAATTGTAGCCTTTCCCCATCTATCAAAAATATATACGGAGTCTATTCTGGTTTGAAAAAATGTTACCTCCCATGGGTGGATTATGTGCACTACCCTGCAATTGTAGCTAACAACATGGGAGTACATGTGAAAACAAACGTTCTGCATTGTGTGTGTGTGTGTGTGTGTGTGTGTGTGTGTGTGTGTGTGTGTGTGTGTGTGTGTGTGTGTGTGTGTGTGTGTGTGTGTACTGTAAAAGCAGAAATTTTGGTGGTGTAATATTTTCGGCGGTATTCGCCAAAATTGGCGGTTCGATAGCGGGAAAATTTCGGTAAAACCCGTTCTCCAGGTAGGTGTACTAGTACTACATGTATACAGTATCGGTTGTACCGAAAATTTCGGTGCGTTTTATTTTCGGTAAAAATTGTCGGCACCGAAGTTACCGAAAATAAAACACCACCGAAAATTTCTGCTTTTACAGTATGTGTGACTCTCGCCCAGACTGGAGGTTGGCTTACACCTCGGACGCCCCGGATCCCCTCGTACCAGCACCGGTGACTTGCTTCACATGCGCCCGGCACTTCGCATGTCAGGGTGACCTCGCTAGGCACAAGTGCACGGCTGAACGGCAGAAGCCGATTTAGGAGCAGAGAGGTGCATGTCAGTGCCCTTGGTGCCAAGTAACAGTGAGTGCGTTCGATTACACGCGCGAATCGATTCACGAATCGATTCATGAATCGATTCGCGCTATTCACATCACCCCATGTGAATAGAGTGAATGGATTCCGAATCGATTCCAGGGCTCATGACATGAAATCGAACGACTTGAATGCATGCGAATGGATTCATGAATCGATTCAAGTGTGTAATCGAACGCACTCAGTTAGTTATCGTTGGTTACCATGGTTACGGAGCCGCGGTGGCTTGGCTGTGCATCGTTGCTCCGCTTCTACCTCGTGCCCAGTACCGACCGAACCAGCTGCTGTTGTCACCGGTGATACTACCGCTCGGAGTTGCTGCAATGCTCACTGTGACACCTGCAATCGTTGTTTCCGCTCAACCCAGGGACGCAACCGCCATCGCTGTTCAACGCACTGCCACCATCCAACGGCCAGAGAACGGGACAAGTTCCCGCATATTTGTATCTGCTCTCGCCGGTTCCGACTACATTTTGTAGTCTCACATCTGGAGCGCCATCGGGTGGCGTGCTCTTTCTCTCTCTCTGCTGCCCCTTCGGCGCCCACGTGACCCTAGTGGTAGTGGCTCTACAGGACAGGACAGGTGTGTGTGTGTGTGTGTGTCACAGTGTGTGTGTGTGTGTGTCCCATATGGTGCAGTGGTATGTGCAGCGATTTCCAATCGATAGGTTGCGGGTTCGAGTCCCGACGATTATGGTCACACACGTCTTTCTTCTCTTTCTCAGACTCTTCCTGACTTTTCTTTCATTCTCCTGGGTGGTTACCAACAGCCAGTGCATGCCGGAGTATGTGGTGTGATGTGTGTGCGGGAAAAAAAATGAATAGACCAAAAATAGGGATTCACTGGCCAGAAAAATCACTTCAAATAGCTGTATGGTGTAGACCAGGCTGAATAGTGACGGTCAATTCTTCAGCCTTGCAAGCTGTTGAATGGTGCAATCCCAGCACAAGTTGCTATGGCTTCTGCCGTAGCATTGCTATCATCGCCTCCGGCGATGGGCGTCAAAGGTCAAAGGTCAAGGTGTGTGTGTGTGTGTGTGTGTGTGTGTGTGTGTGTGTGTGTGTGCGTGCGTGTGTGCAATCGATAGGTTGCGGGTTCGATTCCCGACGATTATGGTCACACACGTCTTTCTTCTCTTTCTCAGACTCTTCCTGACTTTTCTTTCATTCTCCTGGGTGGTTACCAACAGCCAGTGTATGCCGGAGTATGTGGTGTGGTGTGTGAGTAGAAAAAGAAAAAAAAGAAAAGAAAAAAAAAAGAAAAAATGGAAAAATGAAAAATAGGGATTCACTGGCCAGAAAAAGTCACTTCAAACAGCTGTGTGGTGGATACCAGGCTAAAAATAGTGGCGGTCAATTCATCAGCCTTGCAAGCTGTTGAATGGTGTAATCCCAGCACAAGTTGCTATGTCTAACATAGCTGTTCGCTATCATCGCTCCCGCGATGGGCATGTCTGAGGTCTGAGGTCTGAGGTGTGTGCGTGCGTGTGTGTGTCAGCTAGTTCGGTTGATGGGTACACCATGTACACTTATGCCAGATAGTGTTGGGACTGTTCAGTGCCAACAGGCTCAGCTGCTTGAAGGTGTAAAGTAACGGTTAGTTGTACCTCAGTGCCACCTTCAAGTTGTTGGTTTCAGAGGGTTCATATACTTTCTATTTGAAGTGACCTGTTAAAGGGGAAGTTAAGGCAAAAATCAAAATTTCACCAGTTGTAGTCTTCGGGGTGCTGAGTCGAATGGTCTTGGTCCGAGAAAGCTGAGACGCTCCCTTCCTACTTGAATCCCAATCGAACTCGCGCACTTCCACCGAAACTGGGTGACTGCGCCCTACGAGATGGGGATTTGTATGCAAAATGTCACTAAAAGCGCCATTTCGTTCTTATAAAAGCACGGATGACCGCGATTGGCCCATATGTTGTAGTCTTTTGGACGCTGAGTCGACTGGTTTTGGTCCGAAAAGGCTGCGATGCAGCGTTCCTCCTTTATTCCCAATCGAACATGGTTGAAGAAGCGGTCACGTGCTCCTGGGTGCCCAAATCACCTGGTCACCACGCCAGCAGGCGACAACTTTCACACCAAGGTTCAACTCGAGTGACAGGACTGCACCCAAAAAAGGTCAAAACAGGCTGTAAGTTGTACCCTGCAGGCACGGTGACCAGGTGACTGGTGTACGCAGGAGCACGTGACCGCTTGTTCAACCATGTTCGATTGGGAATTAGGGGCGAACGCTGCATCGCAGCCTTTTCGGACCGAAACCAGTCGACTCAGCGTCCAAAAGACTACAACATATGGGCCAATCGCGGTCATCCGTGCTTTTATAAGAACGAAATGGCGCTTTTAGTGACATTTTGCATACAAATCCCCATCTCGTAGGGCGCAGTCACCCAGTTTCGGTGGAAGTGCGCGAGTTCGATTGGGATTCAAGTAGGAAGGGAGCGTCTCAGCTTTTTCGGACCAAGACCATTCGACTCAGCACCCCGAAGACTACAACTGGTGAAATTTTATTTTTTGCCTTAACTTCCCCTTTAACCATGGACTGCTTCTGGCTAGATTAAATCTTGTGTAATCAATGGTGCTAGTGAAGCTTATACAGTATCAGGTCAACTCTGATTTCGTAGCCACTCACACTAGTAGCAAGTATTACCTTCACTGGGGGCAGGGGAATTGCACTGAGTTGGGTCCCGGGACACCCTGATGCCGTCAATCCTTTTTCTGCACCCGGTTTTCGTCGCCCACTTACTGTACTGAGGTGAGGTGAGCCCATAAACATTTCCAAGTTCGGTCCACCCAGCTGGGTTATGAACTCTTGCGGGTTACATTGTAGATCTACCGGCGGGAGGTTTTACTCTTGGTAGATCTACCAGTAATCTGGGTGGACTCTGGCAAGACTCGACTCGAGGCTACTACTACTAGTACCAAGAGTACCTAATTTCATAAATCGTCCTACTCCCCCCCCCCCCCCCCTGTTTTAATACTAGTACTCTTGGTACATCATTATAGTGGTTCAGCCGTCCCGGTACTTTATAAACCAGCACCCTCTATAAACCAGCACAATTTTCATTAGCCAAAATGCCCTCTTCATGCACATTCCAACAGTAGATCAGATTTGCTAATCCAGCACCCTCCCTAATCCAGCAGAATTTCTTTAGCACAAATGGTGCTGGATTGTATAAAGGGACCGCTGTAGTAGATGTACTCGGCCTCGTACTCGGCCTCGTTGTAGTACTAGCTACTGGATGATCTACATGACTACTAAGTACTATAATCGACCTCGAGTACTCGACTCGTGCATGACTCGCTTGAGTCCGCGATCATGGGGATTCCCCGTGATCCAGAGTTGTAGTGGTTTGTTCAAAATAATAATTCACACAATTACAAACACAAACAACAGAAAGTGTGGCACTTTTGTTTGAAGCTTTGAGTATTGAACATGTTTATTTATTTCCAACATGGGGAAAAGGTTGCTTGTATTGTATGGTTCCCAAACGGGTACTGCGAGAGAAGTAGCTGAGCGAGTTCGTAGGGAAGGTATTCAGCGCCACTTCTCAGTGCATCTTCGTTCATTGGACGAGTACGACCTGGTAAGAAAATAGGAATATTATTGCAAAAGTCTAATCCTTACGATGTCTAATCCTTACGGCTTTGTAGTTCTGTGGAAGTGAAATGGAAAGGCTACACTCCACTGGTCGTATGGATATTTAAATGCTATTCGACTTCCCTAAAGCCCGATGCCACCATGCATCTGGCTGCCTCTAAGTGACAAAAGTAGAATGAGAACTACAAGTAACTACTGTAAATACACAAATTTTCGGCAGCTATTTAATTTCGGCTATATTCGGCACCGACCCAAAACGCCTAAATTTAATAAAACGCCGATGAAATTTTTCACAGAATCTGTCGCACTATACCATGCCCTCTACCCCACGCCGAAATGTCAAAAATCGTGAAGTGCCGAAATTTTGCAGCGCCGAAATTTTGTATATTCACAGTATGGTGCACTGTACACCACATACACACGGCTAAAACGAGGGAGGAATGCCAACATTAATAGTTGTTCAATTTATTTGTACATGTTGGAGGTCGCATTTCCTGCCACCTGATTGACTCGTACGGATCGTGACTGCCGTCTGAAGCGCGCACATTCTATTTTGTAGTTATGGAAATTCAAGTGTTTCATGAACAATCGGAGTGGAGACAATACTTTCATGAGAGAAATAAAGAGTATCATTATTAAAGACATCACGACATGCCATAACAATGTGTAGAGTTTCGAGTGTCGTTCCAAATTCCTGAATCGTTTTTCACGTTCCGTATTAAGGATCGAGAAGATTAGTTCAGTACTACAAGTGTGGTCATGTCTACAACATTGATACTCGTCACTGCTCTCGTAAGATTGTTTTATGAATCAACATAGATATGTGCAGCGTGTGAAAAGAAGACAGTGACAGACACAGAGACAGAGCTAGTGGATTGCAGAGGAATACAGGATATCTAAAGGAGTTATATTGTTGCGAAGATCAAACTACATGTGCATGTAGTAGCTCCTGCAGATAGTTCCAAGGACTGATACAGTGGTAGGTGCTTTAGTGCTCCGATTCACAAAAAGAACACCATGGCTCAATATAACTGCATATATGGCCAGCCGCTATTGTCAGTTGCGAGCGGCAATGTCAGAAAGACGGTTCCAGTTCAATATACTGTTGTTCACCTGCAGGAGATGAGTCAGGGGCGTGGCGCTATAGACGATAAGCTTTTTTCTTCTTTCTTTTCTGCAAGGTCCAGTGGAATTTGTCTCTACTCCGAGTTTCTTGCTCAAGTCTGTTGATGATTGCGGAGAGCAAGAAACTCAGACTAGAGACGCATTCCACTGGAAACTTGTTTGTGTGCAAAGCTCTGGAGCTCTGCTGATCTGCCAGCACTCTCATTGAGCACTCTGACCTGCCGTCAAGGATCATCCTGTGTACATGTATCACATAGCTCCTTACTATTAACTAACCTGTAACCTGTCCTTTCCTCACGGTACTTGTTGAGCGTTGTTGCTCTATAAATCATTAAAACTACAGTCAGACCTCGCTTATCCGGTCCTCTTTTATCCGGAGCCCACGCCATCCGGAAGAAAATAGCTGGTTACAGATTTACAGCATACGTGGTGCATCCAACGTAACCGGTGTTCGGTTATCCGGTTCCCTCTCGCTTATCCGGATATTTTTGTGGAAAACTGGTGTGTGCGGTTAAATTAAACGAGGTCTGACTGTATCACAGAGGCGTAGTCGTTGTGCATTCAAAGTGGCTCCCGGCTATTTAGCCTCTACGTGGCTGTCATCAGCCCTCAGTAAAACATTCTGCAGGAACTAATTGGCAGAAGTATCTGTTTCCTGGGTATGCCATGAACCAGTCGGTCTAAGCCCCTGTTTTCAGTCTTGAAGCAACATTGTGTCTATTATTTTGTTTGCTGTTTTTGCTTGCAGCCTAGTCTTATCAATGAGGAACTAGCTGTGTTTGTAGTCGCAACAACCGGACAAGGAGATGAACCGGATAACATGCAGGTAGCGCTTATTATCACTCCCTTAGTATTGACTCCCATAGATTTTTGCCATACCTAAGCAGTCAAATATTCCTGCATATTTCACTCCTTAGGGCTATATTGACCGCTTATATTTGACTCCTTTTTAGCGATTGAACACAGGCTTTGGCTAGTCGTGATAAATCTAATATTGACTTCGTACTTGGTCAGTATAGGAAATAAAAGACCTCGTACTCAGTCATTTTTAGACCTTACTGTTCTGGATTTTCACTCTCCTGTTCCTGAGCCCCGACTTTGCTGTTGAGTTGGTACATGTGTGCGTGCATGCGTGCGTGTGTATCTTGTACTATTTTCTCAATACAAAGTGAAGTGATAAACACAGTTATTTTGTAGTGTGGAGCTCTGCTACATGCATGTTAGCTTGCTTTCTGTGTGTTTTGTCATGGTCTGCCCTATTGTTTTGAAATGTGCACTGCATTGTACACTGCACCTCAATGAGATCCGATCACGTGAGTCTATGTAACGCCGGGTGTGCTGTACAGCCCCAGACTTGTGAGCACTGAGCTTTTGCACTGGTGCAGGGCGCATGCAGATTTATTATTATTATTATTATTATTATTATTATTTATTCACAATCACGTGGCACTAGCCAATGAAATGGTGATGTGGGCGATAGCCAGCCATGGCGGTAATAGAGCTAGAGGGGAGAAAGAAAAAGAATGAAAGAATTTGACCCTCGTGATCGGATTTCATTCAGCTGCACTGTACTTCCAAAGTACATGTGCCATGCTCTGAACGGAATGTTTCCTTTTATGATGCATTTCAAAGCACGTAGATGTGCTAACCTGAGCGAGAATTTCCTACAGACTTCTGCCGGTTCTGGTGTTGCCCGACACAGGGATTTTAAAATGCTCACCCCCTCCCCTCATTTCGAAAGAACTTACGCAGTGCACTGGGCACTATACAAGCATCTGAAACAGAAATACCCCTGGTATACTGCAGCCTTTCCGCTCGAAAATACTGAACTCCTTTAGAACTCTACATCCCACTTGAAACACAAACTTTGTTTCTAGTATGTGAAGTGCAGGTACAGTGGGCTGGTGCACTTGTAAGATATTCACTCACATGTGACTGTGCATGTATGCATGTGTGTGTAAGATATTCACTCACATGCAACTGTGCATGTATGCATGCGTGTGTGCATATGTGAGCCTGTGCATGTTTCTCTTGGTAGTGCATTTGCTTTAGTCAGGGATTCTTGGTGTTGGTGTCTTCCATTCCATTCAGCAATTCTGGAGATTTCTTTTGCGCAAGAATCTACCGGCTGCTTCTCTGTGCAAGCTACATTTCGCCCTGCTTGGCCTTGGCGATTCATCTTATACAAAGTTAGTGGCGATGGGCATTCATGAGTTGCATGACGGCTGCATGCTGTTTGTCCTACCTTATACTGTGCTGTGCATCTTTCTTAGAAGGAACGTGTGCACTCTTGCTGTGTGTACTGCATTTATTCAATTGCGTAAAGGTGAACATTTCAATGCCTTGCTTTGTATTTCTCTTCTCACTTTGCTTTGGCCAACGCATATGGCCGATTGGTTTGCAGGCCTGCCTGCGAATCATGAGGTCCCGAGTTCAAGACCCGCGCTGGTAGCAGGGAGCGTGTAAAAAGACTTTTTACGCGTGTTGAACTGCGCCGACACCCACGGTCAACTGGGTACTCACAGCTCGGAGTGAGAATAACAAGGATGCAGTTTACAGGGTTATGGGCCGCTACACGCCCGATTGGTTGAGAGACTAACCTCCTCTCCCCTGACTCACTTGTGAGGTCTGCATTCGCCACTAAGGTTAACAGGCATAGTGGTGGCCTGCGGATGCGAAGGCTAGTTTGTGTGTTTCTGAACATTCAAGCGATGCCGACGCGGATCCCGCGAATATTATTATTTATTACTTTGCTTTGTTCGGTGCTTTGCCATTAGATTTAACTATGTTGCCAAGAGGTTAAACAAGCGCCTTCAGCAGCTCGGAGCCTCGTTGATGACACCGCTGGCTCTGGGTGATGATCAGCACGATCTGGGGTAAGTGTATGTGTGTGTGTGTGTGTGTGTGTGTCCGTGTCACGTGTGTGTGTGTGTGTGTGTGTGTGTGTGTGTGTGTGTGTGTGTGTGTGTGTGTGTGCCAGCTAGTACGGTTGGTGGGTACACATATGCCAGATAGTGTTGGGTCTGTTGCCAACAGGCTCGGCTGCTTGAAGGTGTGTTGTTGTATCTGCCACCTTTGTTGGTTGCAGGGTTCTTATATTTTCTATTTGAAGTATACATACCTGTTGACCATGGACTGCTTCTGGCTAGATTAACTCTTGTGTAATCAATCACTGGTGCTAGTGAAACTTATATCAGATCCACTCTGATTTAGCCACCCACACAAGTACCAAGTATTACCTTCACTGGGGGCAGGGGTAACTGCAGTTGGATCCCAGGACGGATACCCTGATGCCGTCAATCCTTTTTTTGCACCTTGTCTCACCCACTTACTGAGATGTGGTGAGCCCGTAAGTGGGATCATTTTCAAGTCCACCCATAGTTTGGGGATTTCAGGGGGTGTCGGCCGTTGGGCGGTTCAATAGCCAGTTGAGTCCTCTTTCCAAGATTTCTTTTGAGTTCCTCTCTCCCCTCTCCCGGGGAGACCCACGTGACCAGTTTTGGCAGTGAGCAAGTATAAGTACAAGTGCGTGTGTGTGTGTGTGCGTGTGTGTGTGTGTGCATGCGTGCGTGCATGTGTATGTGTATGAGTGTGTGCGCGTGCGTGCATGCACGCGTGTGCATGCATGCGGGCTTGCATGCGTGCGGGCGGGCGGGCGTGCATACATGCGCACGTGTGTTGCATGGTGATATCATCAATGTAGAGTTGTTCAAACCATGAATGAACATGATTGTTCTCAAATTCTTACGCGGACACTGGGCATGTGAGGTTACTTCTTGAAGTACCTTTAATTAACTTACTAGTCCCAACACTCACACATGGTCTCTTTGCCACAAACTTCTCTCATTATTCACCCAATGATCCGACATGGCCTCTCCGCAGGGTGAAACAGTGTACTGTAACTAAAGATGAATAAGAAAGAAATTCAGTTGATATGCCGTGAGGTGCAATAGAAAAGCGATATGAAGAGGAAAGTGAGACATGTGCCAGATCAGGTATTTATATGTGGAGAGTAAGAGTGCTAGTGAAAGGTGCTAGGAGCAAGGGAGGGAGGGAAATG